ATATATATACATGTATGTATATTCTCAAGGCATAAACTAAAAGCTCTATCTAGCGCTCATAGAAATTTATATGTGAAGTAGAGAAGCTCTGCATTGAGGACCTTCTTGGTCTAGGTTCTTCTCTCTCTGAATAAGCAAGAAGACTGAATTATTATTCTGGCCTCCTTATCCCATGTAGAGCTGAGTCTAGGTGTCCATGATCCTCTCTTTTCTTAGATGTGGCCTGTGGTTTAGACAAGAACTTGTCCCTATTTTTGAGTCAGCAAGTCCCTTTCTATTACACAGAGGTGATGTTTCCTCTTCCTTAATTATCTCCCACATCCCCTGGGCTCCCATTCTGCACTGATCATTAAGAAGGGATAACATGACTTTGTCCTTTACATCCTTTATTTTATATGTACCATTTCCAAACAACTCTTTACTTTTCTCTTTCTCTGCTCTTTACCAAGGTCAAATAGTTCTTAAAAACTTTCTTGGTGTTGGAGGGATGATTTTTCTGCCATGGGAGGGATGGACGTTGCCCGGATGATTCCCCTTCCACCTCCCTGGTCATCAGGAGTGAAGCTGGGCTTGCTCTGAGTTTACCAACCCATGTCCTTCATGGGGACTTTGTTTTAGCTCCCATCGTCCCAAGGCTGACCCCCTGGCAGGTGGCTGTGGCTGTGATCCTAATCGTCTTAGGACTTCTCACCATTGGGTCCATAGTCTTCATTTGGAGACTATACAAGGACAGATTCAGAGAGAAGAAGAGTGAATTCAGCTCCAAAGGTAAGTCACAGCATGCACAAGGGCACCTGTCAGAAGTGCCGGGGAGGTTGGATCCGTGCCCATTAACGTGCCTTCCAGCAGGAAGATCTTTGGTTCTAGAGTTCTGACTGTTAGAAGGAAGCAATGGGGCTTCTGAAATCAGATGCCACATATGGAGAAGAGATTTAGGGCACAGGCAGAGGTAAAGCGCTTTAGACCTGGGATTTACTTACTGTGCACCCTCAAACCCTACGCCCGCTTCTAACTCAAGTTCTCAGTAACAATCCTATTGCGAAAGCTCTAATCCCCACCCCATCCCCAGCCAGGAGGAACTTCCTGAATATTTCTTAGAAAACAAAACAAATCCTGTTCTTGATTTCCTGGTTTCAGTAATCAGGTGGTCATGAACTAAACAGTTCCTCGTTTATGTGTTTCCCACTGCAGTCTCATCCCCTCCCTCGGGTCCATTATAAAAAGACACTGAGATAATTTTGTTTGTTTTCCAGAGAAACTCCTGGAAGAACTCAGTAAGTTCTATCATGTCATTATTTCATCCACAAGGTTTTCTGTCTTATTTTATAACCTGTCTCTGACATTCTGTCTCTTCCATTGCAGAATCAAAAAAAGCTTCTTTGCATGCAGGTCAGTAGCTCTGAACTTCCAAGGCCTCTGCAGGCTTTCCACTCCCGCCCCCCCCTTCCACTCCCACCCTGGTGTCACAGTCCTGCAAGGCTTGGCACCGAAACACTAATGCACTTTAGTGAGGAGTGTAGGACTCGACTCTCCCCTGGAGGCACCTAGAGAGACCTGGGGAGATGGCTAGGACATGAGCCCCACCTGTCATAGTCCCATTAGGGACTGGCAGCTTCTATATCACTGTGGCTGCTGATGAGGAGCTGCAGGGATTGAAGACTGCGGAGAGGCCAGGCTGCTCTTCCCAGGGGGGCTGTGTCTGCTCTTAGATTGCTGCTCTATGCAAAAGGAAAGACAGGTCCTGTAGCCTCCAGCACTCAGGATGATCACTGTCTGTGTCCATCTCCAGTGAATGTGACTCTGGATCCAGACACTGCCCACCCCCACCTCTTTCTGTATGAGGATTCAAAATCTGTTCGCCTGGAAGACTCACGTCAGAAACTACCTGAAAAAGCGGAGAGATTTGACTCTTGGCCTTGTGTGTTAGGCCGGGAGGCCTTCACCTCTGGAAAACACTACTGGGAGGTAGAGGTGGGAGACAGGACTGACTGGGCAGTTGGGGTGTGCAGGGAGAATGTGATAAAGAAAGGGTTTGACCCCCTGACTCCTGAGAATGGGTTCTGGGCTGTAGAGTTGTATGGAAATGGGTACTGGGCTCTCACCCCACTGCGGACCCCTCTCCCGTTAGCGGGATCTCCTCGTCGTGTTGGTATTTTCCTGGACTATGACTCAGGAGACATCTCCTTCTACAACATGACTAATGGCTCCCATATCTATACTTTCCCCAGTGTCTCTTTCTCTGGCCCCCTCAGGCCCTTCTTTTGCCTCTGGTCCTGTGGTAAAAAGCCCTTGACCATCTGCTCAGTTGCTGATGGGCCTGAGGAGATCACAGTCACTGCTGGTGCTCAGGCCCTCTCTAAGGACATCCCATTGTCCCCCATGGGGGAGGAGCCTGCCTCTGGGGATGCAGACACTCTCCATTCTAAACTCATCCAAAGGGTTCCTTAAGGAACATCCCACCTGTCTTCTTCATCTTCTCCTCCATTATCTCTTAAGGCTTCAGCTGCCAGCTTCCCTCACCCCTGTTTCTCCTGGTGGGTCTTGCTTAACTCTCTCGGGAAGGTGGTGCCACCATTGCTAGAGAGCAGGGAGTAGGACCTTCCTAATCTGCTTCTGAACCAATATTTGGGGGATGGAGAGATGACTCCTAAGCTGCTTCCAGCACTCTCTTATCCCTTAAGACCAGAACCTACAGGGAAGAACCTGGAATAAGCTCAAGGGGCAGCTGAGGGATAGAGATGGGCTCAGGTTGGCAGGGGCTGTGGCAGAAAAGGCTTGGTATATAGAATAGGGGTAGTGGAACAATAGTTTTAAACATGCAGGAAGCCCAAAAGGTGCCAGGAGAGGAAGATCTTATGTTAAGATCCCATAAAGGAACCTAGAGGAGACATCATGATGGAGGTGAATGAGGTGAGCACAGATCGAGTTTGTGCACCTAGCCTGACTGTAGAGCTTTGAGGGCCTGTGTCTCGGGTTTTCTAAGCCAAGTCCTGTAGGACAGAGATTGGCCAGACTGCTGCAGAGCTGAAGGAGTGAATAGAAAGCTGAGATGAGCAGGGCTGGAGACTGAGTGACGGAGGAGAGAATCGTGGCTGAAACTAGCAGGTTGTGTGCACACCCAGGCCCCAGGCCTGCTCTCTGGCTAGAACTTCCTGTCTCTTCTTCGCCTGGAGCTCAATCCAACACACACTGTGGGATTTTTCTGATCTAGCTTCCTGCCATGATATCACCTCATCATCTGTCTTTGTCTCAAACTCATGCCCCCTCTACCCTGGACCCAACATCCAAACCTCTCATGCACCCCTTCCATTAGCTTCACCTGCCTCACCCTCATTTCCACACAGTGCCCCCATTCACTGGCTTCCCACCTCACTTTTCTGTGCCGCTCCTTGGGGGTCCCCCAGTGCAGCCCCCTTGTGCTCAGCACAACTGGATCGTTTTTGCCGCTTTGCATTTGTCCCGAAGCACTTTCCTGTGAACACCCAGACTGTTCTGCCAAGGAATTGCACATGTGCCCAGGCTCATGCCTTCCAGCTCCACTGCATTTTTCCAGCTCCCAGAATGGATGTTCTCCATGGTCTTCTTCTAATAAACAAAACTGTCCTCTTGCCTTTAAGTGCCTCTGAACTTTCCTTCCTGAACCCCAATGAGACCAAAACAAAGCAGAGCGCAGGAAAGAGCCTGGCCCGGGACTGCAGCTGGCTAAGCAGTGCCTGTCCCAAGACACGGCGCCTCACCCGGCCAGACGGCACAGAAGACGTAGAAAGGCCACAGTGCCTGTGGCTTCCTACCCTCAGTCTCTGTCTGGGTGGTGATTCCATTTCTACTTCTATAAAGACAACTGGCCCCTCCCAGTGGAGAAAAAAGCTGCCTTTTCGAATGAACAGCACTCTTCCAGGAGATCTTTGTTGGTTGTTTGTAAAAAAGGAGAAGGAGAAGAAAGAAGAAAAGGGAAAGGAGAAAAAGAGGACTTTGTAAACCTTTGCTCCAAAGGGGGAAACTAAATTCCTGCTAGAAGGGAGGTCCTGGGAGTTTGGTGACATGTCCATTTTCTTTGTTCTGGTTGCCCCAACAGAAGATCAGGAATAGTCACCCTAACAGAGATGGACATGAACGCATTTCACTCACCCTGGTAGCCCAAATGGAGAGAACCTGAGTTTCTGGAAGTTCATGTATTGGTGGGAAGATTATCCCATTATCACACTACATTGTAGTTCCCATTGTCTTAGTCACCTTCTTCATTGCTGGGACATAGGACCCACAGGTTAAAGGAGAAAAGGTTTACTTTGGCTTACACTTTGTAGAGGTGTCATCCGTAGTTGGCTGTCTCTGAAGCAGGATGGAATGGCAGAGGAGAAAGAGCTCAGGGCATGGCAGCAGGGAGCAGACAGTGATCAAGGGAAGAAGGAAGAAGCTAGACCTTTCCAGGCCACGCCCCTAGTAACCCACCTCCTCCAATCAGATTTCACCTCTCAACATCACATTTAGCTATAAACCTATCAGTAAACTAATCCAATGATGAATATCACTCATCTATGATCCAATCATTCCTCCAAAGGCCTACTTATGAGTACAAGGGGCTTGGGGAGTCATCTAGATATAAATCATAACACTCCTGATTAATTTTTTTTTTTTTTTGTCTTTTCGAGACAGGGTCTCTCTATGCAGTTCAGGCTGGCCTTGAGCTCACTTTGTAGCCCAAGATGGTCTCGAACTCACAGCAATCCTCCTGCCTCAGCCTCCCAAGTGCTGGGACTACAGCATGTGCCGCCACACCCAGCTCACTCATGATTAATCTAAAGACCAACTTTTCTAAAGGTTCAGTCTCCTTGTGACCCTCATCCAGGACCACAACAAAGAGAGAACCAAACTTTTTTTCTTAGGTGGGAATTCTGAGTATCAGGCAGGTCTATGTATTCATTGCAGTGTAAACTCAATGTGGCTACCATACACTGTATTCCATGACCCATCTCATCTCTTCCAGACCCCACTTAGTTTATATCTTTATTCTGGCTTGGGAGTAAATACCCATGTAATAATATCTGCTTCATCATAGTTCCATGGAAGTATGACTAGATTATTTAAAAGTGAATCTGCCAGGAGACCACAGAGCTTTTGCTCTGGGAAGGGATTAATAGAAAAATGTAACTGAACTTTAGGATAAGAAGTTACTTCTCTGTCCCCATTGGAGCTGGAGGTGTAGCTTGTGGTGGTAGTGGGGAGAGCTTGCTTAACATCCTGGAAGTCCTGGCTTCCATCCCCAGTATCACAAAAACAAACAAGCACTTTATAGTAAACAAAGTACCTACTGATGTTTATTTAGCCTGGCAAGGTGACACGCATCTGTAATCCCAGCATTCTGGGAGGCTGAGGTGGGAGGATTGTGATTTTGAGCCTAGCCTGGGTAATTTTACAACTTAGCAAAGCTGTAAAATGAAAGCAATGGGAAAGAAAGGGGAATGGGCTGGGGATCTAGCTTAGTGGCACAGCGCCTGCCTGGCAAGTGTAAGGTCGTGAGTTCGATTCCCCGTACCAGAAAAAAAAAAAAATCAAAAATAAATAAATAAAAAAGAAAGAAAGGGGATGTAGCTTTGTGCAAAGGCCCTGGATTCAATTCCTAGCATTAGGTGAGGGGAGGGGAAGAAATTAGAAACCAACAAACAAAAACAACAACAAAATAGCATCCAAACATTCTTCTATAAAAAACATTCAATAAACGTTGGCTTGGGGCTGGGGATTTAGCTCACCGGCAAAGCGCCTGCCTGGCAAGCGCAAGGTCGTGAGTTCGGTTCCCGGTACCGGAGAAAAACCCAAAAAAAAAAAAAAAAAAAAAAAAAAAAAACGTTGGCTTATGGTAGAATGTAGTGCCTAAAATGTATCTGTAAAACCTCACCCAGAATAGACAGCTACCACAGGAATTCCACTTGAATTAGAAAAAGTTCTCACAAGCTAATCAGCTCTCCAGAGAGAGCTTCCTTTTTTCTGTGATCGTCAAAGAAATGGCCAGCCGCACAGTACTGACCAGGGGTAGGTTCTTAGGGAATTCCACATTCTCTGCCTGCCCCTTCCAGTCTCTGCACTACCGTCCTAGGGAGCACTTATCTGATGGCGCTAAAAACTGGCCAGAGGCTCCCAACCCAGGTGGCACCAGGTGTCAGAACTGCACCCGCCATTCTGGCTTTTTTCAAATTTGCCCAAAAAGACAGGAAATGTTGCCTTGTCAAGGTCTGTTTTGCTCACTTGAGGCAATGTCAGTGATGCTATGATTTCAGGAGCATCAGAAAGGCCTCTTTCACTGCCACAAATAACTGTGGTGTTTGCTGATGTTTGATTTTTTTAAAAACCAAGAATAAAACCCTTCTACTCTACCACTAAACATGAGACTAAAAGTGCAGATGCCACTATGAGCATAGCTGACTTCATGTCACTCTGCCTAGAGCTGACTACAGTAGTTGCCTGTTTAGCAGTCTCTGTGAGGTGAATGAGTCCAGACATTGCAAGGAAGAGAAAACTAATGTTTCCTCTCCCCAGTCACCAGTGGTTCCTCTCTGCCATCTCTCAGTGCATCTCAGTGCATCATCCTGGGGGTCCAGATGGCCTGGTAGCGCCTCCAATCTCCGCCCTCAGAGTACAGTCTCTAACAGGCCATCTGCAGCTACATATACATGTACTCTTCCTCTCATTTGATTTTTTAAAAGGAAAAGCACTCATTTTCCATAAAACAGATTGTCTTGGTTACTTTTCTCTCTTTGCTGAGGCAAAATACCCAACACCCAGAATGAAGGAAGGAAAGGTTTATTTAGCTTACAGTTTGTGGAGGTTTTAGTCCATACTTGGCTGGCTCCGAGGCAGAAGGTAGCAAAGCAACAAGAGCAAAGGGGGGAAATGGCAGCCGAACAGCAAAGCAGCCAGAGCAAAGGGGAGGAACAGCGGCAAGCAGCCTCTTTCCCTCCCTTACATTGTAAACAGGCTACCCCACCTAACGGGCATGTAGCTCTCACATAATCTCCATGCCCTCCTCTTCCACAGGCTCAGGATGTATACAAAGTAAGCACCCTGGCTTCCTGCTGAGTCAATTAGCCAAGCCTCTAGACTCCCCAAGTTGACACAATGTATCAACCATAACACAGATAAAAGTTCATTTTATTTTATTTTTTGTCTTTTTGAGACAGAGTCTCACGATGCAGTTCAGGCTGGCTTTGAGCTCACTTTGTAGCCCAGGCTGGTCTCAAACTTGCAATGATCCTCCTGCCTCAGCCTCCTAAGTACTGGTATTACAGGTGGAAAGTTTATTTTAAAAGTAAAAATGATCCAAAGTCTCATCACCCAAATATGACCAACACCAACATTTGGATTTATCCTCTCCTTATTTAAAAAAAAAAACTCACTCTGAGAGGCGGAGGCAGGAGGGCCACAAGCTTGAGCCTAACCTTAACTTAGCGAGACCCTATTTCAAAATTAAAAATTTAAAAAAGATTTGGGGATATAGCTCAGCGCAAAGACCCTGGGTTCCGTCCTCAGTATTGAAAACAATCTGTTTGTTTCTGTAGATTTAAATTAACTTTTTTGGCAACTGAAACTCACAGGAATTTGAAATGCTTTGTGATACAAATGTAGTAACTGTGTCAGACAAAAAGAGATTTTAAAAGAGGATATGAACTGATGGAAGATAGAGCAATGTGCATGGACCATGAAAGACAGAACTGGTCTCGGTTTAACATGTCTTCTTGAGACTCAGACTCTTTTATTTTATTTTGTTTTATTTTTTTGAGACAGAATTTTTGCCATGTACTTCAGCTTACCCTTGAACTCACTATATAGCCCAGGCTGATCTCAAACTTGTGGTTATCCTACTGTCTCAGCCTCCTGAGTGCTGGGATAACAAGTATGTGCCACCACGCTCAGCTCGGGTTCTTATTTTTATCCCATATGACAGAGACTGGTAATGTCACCCACATCCTTTGCTGCCTTCTCCAAATGCATTAGGACTCTGTTTCTTAGATAAAGAGGACTGCAAAGAGATGAGATAGCTTCTGTCACCCTGCTGGTGAGTAGCAGAGCTGGAATTTGACCCCATGCCATCTGATCTGGCTCCAGGGTCCATGATCAGGTAATAAGCTTCAACTAATTCTCTAAGGTGGGCAGGCCCTGCACTGATCTTCAAAACAGTATCCAGGGGCTGGGGATTTAGCTCAGTGGCATAGCACCAGGGGCTGGGGATTTAGCTCAGTGGCATAGCACCTGCCCGATAAGCACAAGGTCATGAGTTCAATCCCTGGTACTGGAAAACAAACAAAATAAAGTATAGAAAACAGTATCCAACTTGGGACAAGCAAGAGGTAAGAGAGTTGATACAACATCAAGCTATAGCCAAGTTCTTAGAGAAAGAAAGAAAGAAAGAAAGAAAGAAAGAAAGAAAGCAAGCTTTTGTATTGGCCTAAATAGGAATTTGCTACTGGGGAAGCTGAGGCTGGAGTACCACAAGTTTGAGGCCAGTCTGGGCAATTTAGCAAGACTCTGTCTCAAAAAGAGTGATGGATATAGCTCAATGGTAGAGGTTGAACCCTGGATTCAATTCCTAGTACCCCCAAAAAAAGA